GCAAGGGTGACGCAGTGCTTAATACACCAGGGGGTCTCTGAACAATCTCCGAGACATGTAAGCAAACACCATACAGTGTCGCATCATCTGCTACCTGACAAAGATCCTCATGTAAGTTTTTACATGGCTAGTGGATGTCTGACACTAAATAGTTAAGGGCATAAAGGAAGGATAGATTACCTTGAACGAAAATATGAATGATGAATCATCCGTGCCTAAATGTTCCTGCAGTAAACTCAAAGTATTATGATGTGTAATCATATATGCTAAGTAACATAGATGAAATCAGACAGATTATTTATTCAGAAATATTTTCGGACCTGTCCATACACAAGCTCATTTAGATCACTGAGAGATGGGGTCCTCTCCAAAAGTCGTGCCTGATAAGAAAATTCAGGTTTTAACAGTCTTAGTTGCTGCATAAATCACAGAATAACCCAATAATAATTCCAACTAACATGTTCCATATTATGACAAGCACTACGAATCAATTCTAGGTAAAATCTCTGATTAACTAAAATGGATCATAACTAATAATATACCAGTGCACACTGACGGTCATCAAATCATTATAAAGAGTCACAGACCATACATATCATACCTTGACACCACCAGGAAAGCAGAAAGTTGCTAGATCCTTTGGACGCATTGCCACCTTCTTCCCAGGAGGATATTTAAAAAGTATCTGTCCATGAAATGAAAGTTGCTAAAGAGAAGAAAGAAACCGACTAAATATGCCATGAAGCAGAGCAGACGCACGAAATTAACAGAAGCGGGAAGCAATAATGTATCAAACAAGAAGTAAAAGAGTGGCATATAGAGTAGTGAATAAAAAAAATGTTCGCCTCTCATGTTACATATATAAGCATGCCCAAACTATGGGAACCCAAAAATAAAACCAACGTAGCACAAACCTGTGGCTCCAATATTGGAAACTGAGGCCCACGGTGACGGAGTATTCTGTAGTCTGCCACTTCATACCTTGACATTTCCATCTCCCATTTCTTCCTTCTACGAAATGCCTCTTCCACCGGCTTCAAATCTGTTTCCGGATGAAGCCCCACAATGATAAAATGTTCAAACAGTGAGGTTGGCTCCTTAAACTTTGTTTGATCCTAGAGTGTTTATCAAATGGAAAACATTAGTCAGCTAATGTGCTATGCCTTCAAAGTATTGATAGGACACCCTAGAGAGATTAAATACCAGAGCTTTTGAAGAGTGGAGCTGGTACCACTGTCTTTTTTGGTTTGCTAAGACCTCAGGATTGAAAGTGGGCCGATTATCCTCACGTAGATTGCTGACCCCACGCCAAGCCTTCTGCATCTGTGTTTTCAATCTTTGGAAGCTGTTTGTGCGCCTGTGTCCTGGAGTCCCCATCTCACTTTGGCTGCGCCTATGTCCTAGTGATGGTGACTGTGGTAAGACTGGTCCATTGAAGTACACGTTTTGAAATGTCTCCCCAGCTACTTTAACTTCGTCCGGAGTAGGTGAGGGAGATTCTTGCTCTCCTGTAACTTCTCTCATTTCCATCTTTCTAACAATTGTGTCATCAACTTGTGTCTCACATCTTAGACTCTGCGGTTCATCATCTTTTCCCCGCAGCATCAGACTCGAATCATCGTCACCGTCCTTTCCCAACAGTCGGTTGTTATCCCCAGTTTTACATCTATTACATGTTCCTGTAGCTTCTTCGGAACAGAGTTCATCTGCTTTAGCTTGACCATTTGCCAATTCTGTATCCAGTTCTTTCATTTCTGTACTAAGAGTATTTGGGCCGTCTTTCATGTCATCACTCTCCGGTGAACCTGAACCAGATTCTTCACTATCCTTTGCTACAAAACCGAGTAACTTTTCATCTTCTTCCAACACATCCCTATTTACCCTTTCGAAAGGCTCATACTGCTTAAGAGACTCATGCCCACCTTCTTCTTCACTGCTATCTTTCAAACTATCACGTTTATCTTCCGATGCATCTACTCTCGGTGAACAGCTTCTCTCTTCATCATTTTCTCCATCCTTCAACGATGCACTCGTTTCAATACTCCTCTGACCATCTCTTTCCACCGTAACCTGTCCTTCCCCGCCGTTTTCATTGCTCCTCCTCGGGGTACCAACTTCTTCTCTACTTATCGATACCCTCTCGTCGCAAGATGGATTCACTTCATCTATCTTGAAGGACCTAACTTTCCGAATCATGTTCAATGTATTCTGCTCGTGTTCTACTTCATCTCTAATGGAAGCTCTCCATTTATCCTCATCTCCATCCCTGAAGGCCTCACTTCCACAATCATCTTCCACATCCATCTTCTTCGAGTATCTTAAGATATCATCTCTGTTCCCATCTCCCCGATGAATTGCCAACACGTCTCCTTGCATATCCGTACAAGAACCCGGCTTCAACCAACACTCTATCCCTCAAACAACATCAGCAAAACCAGTAACTAGCATACCCTTCAAATTTCTGCTAACAAAAACAAAAAAAAAAAACTGAAATCAGCATATACTAGGAATAAGAAAAGCCTCCATCAGAGAAGAAGATGAGCTTAAACAAGTTTTTCGGAGAGAAATGATGAATCGCAAATCCTTTCAAAACTTAAAATTTCTATTGGAACTTAAGGAATCTAAGGATCTCATAAACCGCTTGCTCGGCTGATTTCATTTCCATGCTTTTTTCCTCGAATCAACAAATCCTGTTTTGTACCAAAACCCTAATTTCGAATGCGTTGAAATCATAAGAAATCCAAATAACGAGTCCTGTGTACGAATTCATAGTTTCCAGCTAACACGAGCTATGCGAATTGAAAAGCTATAAACCTCGAATCAGAGGAAGATGATAACAGCAACAGAGAATTCTAAAATCAGGAATTTAAGAAATACCTCCAAATCCTCCACAGCAAAATCAATGCTCCTGGGAATTTATTTTATAAAATAAAAATTCAAACATTAAAATCCCAAAAAAAAACTTGTAACGGAAGGTTGGATTATGGAGGGAACGAGATGAATGCGCGGCGTGAGGATTAGAGAGAGAGAGAGAGAGAGAGAGATTGTTTGACAAACAAAAATGGAATTGAATTTGCCCTTTTGGTTCAAGTCCTTCTCTCTTCTGTGGGGGCGAAAAAGACAGGTAAAGAAAGTTTGTACTAAAAATAGAATTTTACGTAAAAAGGGAGGTTATACTTGAGACCAGGAGAAGAACAGCTCAGGTGCAAAATCCTTTTGTTTTCGGTTATTTTCTTTTTACCCCTCACGTTTTCCTTTACTTCTTCTACTAAACGTGGCCTTCATGTTATGAGCAAACACCCAAATTTATTGATTAAGTTTGACTTGTTTTCTTTACTTTTAAACGTATAATCACGAAAAGAAAAATCAAATCAAGTAACCTCCTACGTAGACATTTATATCATATTATTGCAAAGATCAATTAGTTAGAAGATAAATTGCTTACTTTTATAGCAAAAATCAAGTAATTGTAAAAATGGACGGAACTGATTACGTAGACATTTAGATCTTTTGATGACAGAGGTGAAAAGATTGCTTATTTTTTGTTATTCCTAGAGATTGTTGGGCTAGAAGAAAAATCTGGTTTTTGTTTGTGTATAAAAATGGCAATTTTCTTGTTGTTGAATAGCTGAAATACACAGTTTTAGTAAATAATATCTTGCTTTGGATTTGGTTATACGAAATTATTGAAACATTAGTAATATGGGTAAAGACAATATCTCTAAGATACAGAGAAGGTCAACGATACGCAAAATACAAAAAGGAAAGGTCTAGCATATTGTTGTTATAGTTTGTAAACGGATCTTATACCTATTAATTATTAAATATAAACATAATATAATGGTGATACCAGAGTCCAGAGATGATCTAGTTCCAAATCTGCGGTACTAGCTAGTCACTGACAAATTGTTTTCCAATATTTTATAGCATTTGGACGAAATTTACCGGTATTAAAAAGCTTAACCAGTCAATGTCTGAGGCCTGATTCTGTATAAGAGTATAGGACTAAACTGAAATAACTAAAATTTGGTGACCAGCTTATGAAAAAGTAAAAGTTAGAGGTGCAAGCTTGGAAACGTTGAAATGTTGAATTGACTTTGAACGTGCGATGGCGCTTTGAAGATATATTTGGTTTAGATGTCCCTCTCACGCGCTACATTTTTCCTAACATCGCAGCCGTTGGATTTGACTGTTACGCGATCCCTTTGACTTGGATAAACAAAGATCACGAAAGTTGAAACATCTATTTTTTATTTTTCTCTCTTTCTGTGTGGTTGTTGTTGATAAATACAGTAGTAGCTGATAATTTGGACAAACTTATGTTTTCAAGTTTTACGTGCAATAAACTAAATAACTAATCATACTGCATATGTAATTATGTATTAACGTAAGAAGATCGATGTTCATGTAAAATAAGCAAAACATGAGGCTCTATTAGACGTGCACAAAACGCGCTGAATGATGCGTATTATACTATAAAGAGATGCGGAAGGTAAGGCATTTATGCCGTGAAGTAGCCAGCCACACATGCTCTTTGCCCACTACTTTAGTTTTGGGAATTGTGTACTTGTCCGTTTCATACTCCTTGATTCACAGCAAAACTACTAATTTCCTCCAATAAATTGTTTTCTTTGAGCCAAAAATACGTTTGTTGTTGTTGTTGTTGTCTTAGTAGCTGTTCTGATTCTTATTGTTAAGTGGAAAAATTTATGTGATCTAATGTCCCCTTCGATTGGGCTAGACTAGCAGAAGCCCAACAACAAGTTGTGCTTGGCCCAATTCAGAAAACATGAAAATGGAACTCTCAATGCTTTTCTTACCTATCGTCTTCTTACGCTCTCGTTACCTCACTCGGTTTCTGTTTTTCTTTTCTCCAAACCCTAATAATCTCTTGAGAGTAAGAAGACGATAAACAAGTTTCCATTTTCTTTGACGCCGAGTCTTCTCGGTAGAAACATGGAACTCAAGCCCTTTTTAATTACTGTAATTCGATCAATTTTATGATCCTCTCTTCTACTTGGAAATCCCTTTGGGTTTTCAACTTTATCCGAGGAATTTCTTGTGATCTGTTGGAGAATTCGTCGATGGGTTCGGGAAATCATGTGGTAGTCGATGTTAGCTCAGACGAGGAGGAGGAGGTTGATTCAAGGGTAGACATCGAGTACTATAATTGGCTAAACGATGTTATGGAAGCTGGCGATGAAAAATCTGACAGTACCGATGAAGTCGAGGTGCTTTCTGAGGTGAAAGGTGGCATTGATTCTAAGTACCGGAAGCCAAATTCGTCGATTCGAACTGTGAAGGACGAAGACGACGATGACGATGACGACTGTGTCATTTTGGACGGTGATCCCGACAAGACGACGAATACTGCTGCAGCTGAAGATGATGATAAATTAGCAAAGGATGATGATGACGATGACGATGATGACGTGCTTGTAGTTGGGCAAAAGGGTGAGGTATCGAATTCGAATCCACCTCAATTTCTTGCTTCCTTTTTCGTGTTTCTGTCTGAGCTCTTGTTAACTTATATGCCTTCATTCAGATTCTGTATGCGTTAATTTGGTAGGATTTATTGTTTCAATGCTCTTATCTAGCTATCAGGATTGATAATTTCACGAGTAAAGTTTCTGGAAACTGATTTAGGAATTGGATGTCATTGAATAGCTATCAGGATTGGTAATTTCAGGAGTTGCGGAATCGAATGAACTTATTTTTTCTGGATGGGAAACTGTTTTAGGAATGGATTCTCATTGAATTGTTTTGGTATATCAATCAGTGTACTGTTGTATACTTAATTCCCCTAATATCAACAGCAAAATGTTTGTGTTGTAGATAGCATGTAGAGATTTCCCTCATCCCCGACACTCGTGTGCTAAGTACTCATTTAAGTCAATATCACATGAGAAATACTGTGACATGGTAAGCATCTAAAGTTTCTCTTCTCCTCCACAGAGCTTTTATGGATTCTCTTCCCCGGCTAATCCTTGTTATTGGTTTTCCTCTTGGCTTCACTTTGAAGTGTCACTGCTATGTGTGCGACATCCCAGCTCCATGTCCATACTGGTGTATCGGTGACTCAACCATAGATCACTGTCATGCTAATGACAAAGAGAAGATATGGAAGAATCAACGAGAATACTTCAGGACCGGAGATATGCCTACCAAACCATCTTCAATACCAGCTATGCCCGATCCAGCTTCTCCGACAGAGACCCGCCAGTTTTCTCAAAGTATCATACGGTTGAACACTCTGCCGCGGAACCAGGCTGGGATCAGGCCTTGCTCATCATCAAGAGCCAGGTCTAGAATCAAGATCTCACTCAATCACAATCATGGGTTGCAGAATCGACCGGCGCAGTCACTGAGCAGTGTTCGCAACAACGTCATCCAAAAGGATAGAAGTTCTCAAACGCTGAACCTAAGGTCCCGAGTGGCTTCGTCAAATGGTAACAACACCAAGGTCGGTCTTTATACCAATGCCCACCGTAGCTCGACACCGCCAATAAACCCGAAAATGTACACTCAGCTCAATGTTACTGATTCTTGCGCAGCGGTGACAGGGTCTCAGAGCAATGTGTACACCAGACATTCCGGCCAGAACGAAAGTGTCAGTGGAAACTGCGAGTTCGCTGTGCCTGAAACTCCTCTTACATCTGCAGATTCGCAAGCGCATATGGTTCAACAACAACCGGGAACTAATGAAAACGTCTTGCAGACTAAACTGTCGGAATTTGAGAGCTGGCTCATGGACAGCTCTAACCAAACCGGCTCGGTTAGCCCATTGCCTGAACCGCTAAGTGAAGACAATGCTAGTCCGTTGACATTTGATTTCGAAACCTTCTTGAATGATTGAAATGGTACTCTAGTTGTAGTTTTTTTCTTCACTGATTGTATAAATTGTAGAGTGAGTTGTTGTATATCTTGTGGTAGCTGTTATCACTATTTATCTACATAATGGCGAACGTTTTGTAGATCGTCATAAAATAAATTGACTTCTGCCCAAGGAATAATAAAGTTTGTTGACGAATAAAGATCGGTTAATTAACACGCTTAACATACTTCAAGTTTTTACGAACTGACGACGTTTTGTGTTCGGTCTGGGCTGGGAAAATTCCAGTAAGGCCCATGGATCACTTATAAGCCCAATTACGAGTTTGTCCTCGGAGTCCTCCGGCTAACGCCCAAAAAAGAAACGGTTTTGTGGATGTGACGGTGGCAAACGGCCACCAGTTTTGTCGTTTCGAGGAGCGTATAAACCACGCGTGGAAGAGGGCGCGTTCGTGTTTGCTGATGCATCATCATCGCCTTTTTTTTTCCTCTCTCCGAAAGCAGTCTCACTACGGCAACACACTACCCTACGCCCTTCCCACCATCAGCATTAAAGTCTCTCTCTCTCTCTCTCCTTCGCTTCTTCTGGTTCGAAATCACTTTACTCTCTCCTTCTCTCTCTCTCTCTATCACTCTGTTACCTTCACCGGAGAAGCTCTCCTTCTCTGAATCTCCAAACCTTACTCTCAACGTTCGACTCTGCTTCCCGCTGTGTATAGATCTCGAGCCGCATTTCGTGGATCTGTTAAAATCGCGTTAAACCCACTCGCTTTCTGTCTAACCTAGGGTTTTGATTTCATTTTGGGGAGAGAAATCAATGTATGCGAAGCTTTGAGGAAGCTGTGGTTAGACGTCTGATTCTAGAGAGGCTTCGTGTTTTGATTGTTTGAGTATGCGAAGATTTTCCGTTAATGACGCGAAGGTTCTGTGTCTCCGTTGCTGACAAATGGTGGTTTTAGAGTATCGTCCGGTGATTTAAGATGCGTAACTTTGCGATGCTTGTGCTACTATTTCTTCTTCTCCATTCTCTGGGCTCGTTTCCCATCTGCTTTGGTATGTCACTAGTTAACCAGATTTTTCCCCTTTTGGATGTGCTTGCTTGGTGACCAAAATTTAGGAAGCGATTCAATAGGCCAAAATTTAACATTGCTTGGTTTTTCTCTGCTCTTTTACTTGACAGCTCAAGATTAGCTGGTGTCTATATTTAGTATTGTTTATTGGATATAATTAGAAGCTAACTTTATAATGTACAAAGTAAGCAAAAGGGGTTTTAGTTGTACGATTTAGATTCATTAAGTTTGGAATCTGTGATTGTGAAGCGTGAGAGTGACGATGAATCCCCACGTTGTGTGCCTTATTTGGCACCCAACTTTAAAGAGCTTGTTAAAAATGGCTTACTTCTTATTTTTCTAAGTATGTTGAGGAAATGTCGATATAGCAAGACATTCTCTTGGCGGGGGATTGTATTATTTAACATAGGCATGGCACTTTCATTCCCAAAAGAGGATGCAGCACGTATAGTTGTAGATAGTAGATACCTCCGATTACTTTGGAACTATTTGGTGCTATGAATATTCGACATCTATACAAAGAAATTGTCTGTGGATGACTTATCAGCTTGCACTCTTATCATTTGCAGCTCGGCTATTTCCTATGAGCTTGCCATTCGCCCGATCAAAATCGCATCCAATGCATTTTTTTCATCCTCATTATAATCCAGCTGTTGCTCCTGCAGCTTCACCAGGTCAGCAAAGTAACTCCTTTTAGTCTTATGGTCTAGGCAAGTATTCTAGTGTAGTCATGTTTCTGCCAAGGAGTATTCAGTGGTCATTTTCTTTCCATTTTCAGCTTTTGCCCCCAACCCAAGCCGCATTCCACCACCAAGACACAAGGGTCATCACCATCATCGTCGTTGGCATTTAAGACGCAACGTGACAGCAGTTTCACCTTCATCGCATGGTAATACTTTTGTTTGTTGTTCACTTTCTTGCGTCCTATGCTAATGGCAAGGATAATCTTTTGTATGCATACTTTTTCTTCTTTGATTAAGACCTAGTGTTTATTGCTTTAGACTTCATTTGATAGAGAAATGTTAGTAATTACTCTTTTCTGTGTGTTTCCGCTTTGTCCTTTTTGATAGACTGTCAACAAACATGCGTGGAGCCTCTTACTTCAACTCCCTTTGGTTCACCCTGTGGTTGTGTTTTCCCCATGAAAGTTCAGCTTCTGCTAAGTGTTGCGCCCTTTTCTATTTTCCCTGTGACCAACGAGTTAGAAATTGAGGTTGCTGCTGGAACATACTTGGAACAAAGCCAAGTGAAAATCATGGGCGCCAGTGCCGACAGTGAAAACCAAGGGAAAACAGTGGTGGATATTAACCTTGTTCCACTTGGAGAGAAATTCGATAATACTACGGCGACACTTATTTATCAAAGGTTCCGGCACAAGAAAGTGCCTCTAAATGAGTCTGTTTTTGGTGATTATGAGGTTACACACATAAGTTATCCAGGTAAACTAACTTCTTTGTAATACAAGTTTTTCCCCCTTTTGTTTGTGTTCATTCTGTTTGAATTTGTTAACTTCGTCCATTTTCAGGAATTCCTTCTTCACCATATGAAGATCTTGCAAATGCGCCAAGTGCAAGTAGTGGAGGGCTTCCAATCACTGCAAACTTTGCCAACAAAAGCCAGGGAATAGGATTTCGAACGATTGCAATCATTGTCTTGTCAGGTTTCGTGCTCGCTCTGGTTTTGGCTGGAGCTATATTTATAATCAGGAAATGGAATACATTTGGGAAGGCATCTACTGCTGTTGGCCCAGTATTGGTTCCATCCATTAACAAAAGGCCTGGTAAATTTCGTCCCCCGAGTTTGTAACAGATACTTGCTTTTGTAGCTTTAGAAGACAGGGTGCATTTTTCCTGTGTGAATCTGTTTTTGAATCTTTAACACCCTGTGCAGGTGCTGGATCTATGTTTTCCAGTAGCGCGAGAAGCTCTGGATCAGATTCTTTGATGTCGTCCATGGCTACATGTGCTTTATCCGTGAAGACGTTCACACTTTCCGAGCTCGAGAAGGCAACTGATAAATTCAGTGCCAAGAGGGTTTTGGGCGAGGGAGGATTTGGTCGTGTTTATCAGGGCAACATGGAGGATGGAACCGAGATTGCAGTTAAACTGCTAACTAGGGACAACCAGAACCGAGACCGTGAGTTTATTGCAGAAGTCGAGATGCTAAGCCGTTTGCACCACCGCAACCTTGTGAAACTGATTGGGATATGCATTGAAGGCCGTACACGTTGCTTGATTTACGAGCTCGTCCACAATGGGAGTGTGGAGTCCCACTTGCACGGTGACATGATCTATCTCTGCGCTTTTAGTAACAGTATTTCACAGTCACTTATCATTGTATCACCTTCTAAAGCCTAGTTTTCCTTTGTGTTAACACAACAGAAGGAACGCTTGATTGGGATGCGCGGTTGAAGATTGCACTCGGAGCAGCGAGAGGACTGGCCTATCTCCATGAAGATTCAAATCCCCGAGTAATCCACCGGGATTTCAAAGCCAGCAATGTTCTCCTAGAAGAAGACTTCACCCCAAAAGTCTCAGACTTTGGACTGGCCAGAGAAGCAACCGAAGGAAGTCAACATATTTCCACTCGAGTCATGGGGACCTTTGGGTAAAAGCTTCTTTCTGTTTGTTTTCTTGTGAAAAAAACCACGATCCCATGCTCTTACACGATGAATGTTAACACTATGGTTTATATGTTGGACTTACAAATGGCCACCTGTGCAGGTACGTGGCTCCTGAGTATGCAATGACGGGACATCTCCTTGTTAAAAGCGATGTCTATAGTTACGGTGTGGTTCTACTCGAGCTTCTCACCGGTAGAAGACCGGTAGACATGTCTCAACCTTCGGGAGAAGAAAACCTGGTGACGTGGGCGAGACCGTTACTAGCCAACAGAGAGGGCCTGGAGCAGCTGGTGGACCCCACACTGGCTGGAACCTACGACTTTGATGACATGGCGAAAGTGGCTGCGATAGCTTCCATGTGCGTGCACCAGGAGGTCTCGCACAGACCGTTCATGGGTGAAGTAGTGCAGGCACTGAAACTTATATACAACGATGCAGATGAGACGTGTGGGGACTATTGTAGCCAGAAGGAGTCTTCGGTCCCGGACTCTGCAGACTTCAAAGGCGACCTGGCTCCCTCGGACAGCAGCTGGTGGAATTTGACACCCCGGTTAAGGTATGGTCAAGCGTCTTCGTTCATAACCATGGAGTATAGCTCAGGGCCGCTAGAGGACATGGAGAACCGGCCTCACTCGGCCTCTAGCATTCCGAGAGACGGAGGGCTTATTCTGCCAAACAGATCGGGTCCGTTAAGGCCCGTCCGTAGTAGAAGAAACTTTTTTAGATTGAGAGGAAGCATGAGCGAACACGGTGGACCGTCGTCGTCTAGACATCTCTGGTCCGGTAATGGCGACTGGTTCTGAGAAACCAGAAAAATGTACAGTTAAGGAAAATGGGTGGGTAAAAAAGGAAAAGGCTCACAACTCTTGAGCTGGATGGTTTGGTTCGGTTCGGTTCATCAGCTTAAGACTTTTTGGTTTTGTTTTTTTTTTCTAGGAGTTTATTTTCACGTTTCAGAAATAGATTAATTGTTTGATTTTGCGCGGATGCAAAAGTACAGCACATCAAGGGTTGTATGTTGAAGAACGTTTTCTCACCTTTTCTCCCCCACAAAAACTTTGTTCTTTTATATTCTTAAGGGAAATTAGCAAATATTATTCACTCCATAACCAATTAATTGTTATTGCTATGATACTCTTTAATAACTTTAAACTTCTAACCACGAATCGTCTTAAAAGTGTTCGTTGACTTTACTAGCTCTTTTTAGAAGCGAACAATCGAAAAAACCGTTTTAGTCAAAAACAGAACCCAAAATCCCACGCGCCTCTCTAATTGGCTGATTGAGTGGGCCCATCCGTCACTAAACAATCCTAATGACAGCGAGATTGTGTTCGGGCGGGTAAACCGTTAAAGCATAATGTGCTGATTAAACACAACAGTCCAATTGTAAACGGACAATAGTCAACCAAGAGACACGTGGCATCCTACTATAGATTTCTCTTAAGAATCGCACATACACGTTTGTTACTTTGCAAATGACCTCTGAATGTTGCACTTTGCAAATTTACAACTATATTTTTGAATTTTGATTATGGTTAATTCGCAAATTTACAACTTACAAGTGTATGGAAACTTTTTTTTAATTCAATCCTGAACTAGAGAATTTTATTATTATTGTGATATTCTTCGGACTGCTCAACCGGAGAAAAGGCCATATGGCCACAGAATAAGTATTTGTTAATATGATTTCCTAATTCTGGGCACATACTTATAAGTATAAATTGTGGAATATAATGTTAGGATAGTGGTCTAAGTTAAACCACCTTAACCAGACACTTTGGCACCTATGTTCAATCTTCATCTGTCCTATAATGTGTTTCTCACTTTCTAAGTAGGTATAAAGGAAAAAGAAGAAAAGAAAATAGATACTTATTTACGAGTATTTGAAATGAGTAGCATGCATGTATTTTGCTAAGAAATTATATTTTACCAAACAGAAACCAATAAGCTTTCTAGAATGCAAAATTATTAATCTAAAGAAATTATTATTCAATAAATATAGTTCACATAAATACAAAATAAATAATTTCATTAAGTGCAATTTGTAAAGAACAAAATGAAAGTAAATTTAAGTCAATTTTATTAAAGTGAAATTTAATTAATTCAAGATAAAACCAATACTTACCTTATTACCATTAAATGCTTGTTAACTTTATCTCATAATTAATTAGTTTTCACTATAATTAAAAAAAATCTGATTAACTTGAGTGTTTATGATTTTGTGTAATACATGATCATATTACAATAAATCTATTTAAATAAAGTAAGTTTTTTTCAGAAACATTGTCTTACATTTTAAGATAACAATTAACACTTTTTTCTCTTATTAGATGGTCTAAATCTTAAAATTAAGTCACATGTAATCATATAATTGGTTCTTTCATATTTTCTAATACTTTTTGTTTTTATTTTTAGATTAGACTAATTTTCAAATCTCATTTAAGATATTAACCAAATTTCACATCTAATAGTAATTAATAAGTACAGAAATTTGTTTAATCAAATATGATAATAAGAATCTGAATATGACGTTACAACTTACAAATAGAGTTTAGAGAGATTATTATGGTAAGTTAGTGTGTAAGAGGGAAAAGCTAGCAACTTTAAGTAAAAGAAGAAATAGAGGAAACAAAAAGAAATATATATTTTCCGCTTTGGTAAATTTGGATTTACCAGTTTTATTTTTAGGAAAAAAAGTACAGGTAGTAAGCAAAATTGTTATTTTCTCGGAATTCACCTAATTACCCTCTCGCTGGAAGACTAATTTGTTTCACTTTAATTACCCTTTCTCGGTATTTTTACTTAAGTAGAAAGAGAGAAGAAATTAAAAGAAAAACCCAAAATATAGGAAAAAGGACAAAAGAGAAAGATTTATGATTTCTTCATAAGCAATTTTTGTTTAAAGCTTTCTCACATATCCACTCTATAAGATACAATCTCTTCTCTGGGGAATCTATTATTTGCATTCACAGAACTCGTCTCCAGCTTGAGCAAGTGAATGATCCTTTGTTGCTGGAGGAATCTCTTTGCGCTTACAGAGAAAAAGGATTTCTGATTTGATAAATCTCCGGTGAAAATGGTACTCTAGTTTCTGGGTTTATCACCGTTTTAATCCCATTTGGGCGTTTCTTCCATTTTGTTTTAACTCATTTCGATTTCAAAGTTTTGTTTTGTGTTTTTTTTTTTTTTTTTTTTTTTTTTTTTTTTTTTTCCGTTTTCAAAATGGCAAATGTCTAAACTTCCGCTGAGTGCAAATTGAATTGAAAGATCTTCTTCTGATATTCTTTCTCTTCCAGTTTTGTGTTATATCAACTTCAATGTATTAACCTCTTCTGGGCTTCATTTAACTATGCTCTGTTATTACCTGCAAAATAAAAAAATTATACAGAGATGAACATCGTGACTAAATGATTTTACATGTGTTTATCATTTGTTGCTTAGCTTCCTGTGTTTATTATTAAATTCGTTTTAGTCAGAAACCAAATTTTGTGGTTGCGCCAATTAGCTTCTACTGAATGCTGTTTGGGACCTACCTTTTTCGTAAAATGAAAAATTTCGTAATGTTTGTGTTATTGTAGATATATATGTTTCGTAGGCTTTGAAATTCTCTACTTATGTCTTGACAGCTTTATCAATTCGATTTGTTTGGTTCTTCAGGCTCCTTCTACTGTTAAAGATGGCTCTTTCGTTTCTTTGGAAGATCCAGAGGGTGAAGTTATCGAGGAGGCATGTCTTCCCCTTTTCGTATAATATATGCTTTTTGTAGCGACGACAAGTTGTTGTAGACACTTGACAGCTTTAGTTAATCCGATTGTTGGTTCTTCAGGTTTGTTCTACAGTTACTGTTGGCTCGTTCGTATGGGTGGAAGATCCGGCGGAGGCATGGATGGATGGTGAAGTTGTGGAGGTTAATGGACAAGATATAAAGGTCCGATGTAGCTCAGGGAAGACGGTAAGTTTTTTAACCGACTTTAGATATATACTTTGATAGAATATGTATTATATGTTTGTCCAAGATTGTGTTTTCTGATGGGATTGTGTTTCAGATTGTTGTCAAAGTTTCAAACACATATCCGAAAGATATGGAAGTTCCACCTTCTGGAGTGGATGATATGACAACGCTAGCGTATTTACATGAACCAGGAGTCCTACAGAATCTGAAATCAAGATATTATATAGACGAAATATATGTGAGCTTGCTTCTTGTTTTCTCTCTGTTATTTTGTTGGCTCTGTAAGACATTTGGCCTAAAATGTGCTTTTTGTTTTTGTTTTGTAGACTTACACAGGAGATATTTTGATTGCGATAAACCCTTTTAAGAAGCTTGAGAATCTATACAATGACCATATGATTGCACACTATAAAGGAGTCGCCTTTGGAGCATTGAACCCTCATCCGTTTGCAGTTGCAGATGCAGCTTACAGGTAACTGCCATTTCCTCTTTGTTCCATTCCATCATTGATTGTTGTTTCCTGCTTCACAATTTTTAATTTGTTTTCTTGTTTTCTGGTTGGTGTAGACAAATGGTTAATGAGGGAATTAGCCAATCAATCTTGGTGAGTGGTGAAAGTGGAGCAGGGAAAACTGAGACTGCTAAAGTGCTTATGAAATATCTGGCCAAAATGGGAGGTCGAGCTGTTTCCGACAGAAGGACTGTCGAAGATCAAGTTTTGGAGGTAAGTAATCACAAAGAAAGAGGATTTGTAGACAATTGTCAGAGATCATTCTTTGACATGAATGGTTTATGTTCTTTGTGCAGTCCAATCCTGTTTTGGAAGCATTTGGGAATGCCAAAACCGTCAGGAACAACAATTCAAGGTGAGTGTTTCATCACTTTTTCTTCTTACTGAACATGGAATGACCAAACTTTCATCTATATAACCACTATGATGTTACAGCCGATTTGGCAAGTTCGTGGAGATTCAGTTTGATCAAAGGGGAAGGATATCAGGAGCTGCTATCAAGACTTATTTGTTGGAGAGATCACGCGTTTGTCAAGTCTCAGATTCTGAGAGAAACTATCACTGCTTTTACATGCTTTGTGCTGCACCAACAGAGGTACGTATCGCTTTTACCACTATTCACACCACACTTTATTTCAGTCCCTTGTTAAAAATTGTCCTCATGTTTCTCATTTTTCTTTCATTATTCGACAGGACACAAAGAAACTAAGACTAGCGGATCCAACAACATTCCGTTATCTGAATCAATCTCAATGTATTAAGTTGGAAGGGAGGGATGATTCAGAGGAGTATGCTAAAACCCGAGAAGCAATGGGCATTGTCGGGATAAGCTCAGAGGAGCAGGTTGTTAATTGTCCCTTGTCCTAGTAAACATGGTCTATGAGTCTGAATCTGATATCACTTTCTTTTCAGGAAGCAATATTTCGAGTTTTAGCAGCTATTCTTCATCTTGGTAACATAGAGTTTGTAAACGGAGAAGAAGTAGACTCGTCAGTTCCTAAAGACAAGAAGTCACTGAAGATTGCCGCTGAGCTTTTCATGTACGTAACTAACTGAGTTGATTAGATATGTGATAATGTGAGAAAGAGGCAACTCTTGAGTCCTTGAATTTTGGCAGGTGTGACGAGCAGGCATTGGAAGATTCTCTTTGTAAACGTGTAATGGTGACACCTGAAGAAACAATTTCCAGATGTCTGGATCCTGAATCTGCGGCATTCAGCAGAGATGCCTTGGCAAAATTTGTGTACTCAAGATTGTTTGATTGGTATGTATAGTGTTTTCAACCGCATGCTTCTCTCTCTTGTTTCCCAAAAGTTACTTTCACTACGCTTTGCCAAATTTTCACTATTGCTTTTGTAGGATCGTAAACAAGATCAATATTTCAATTGGGCAAGATCCTGACTCAAAAAGCATGATCGGAGTGCTGGATATTTATGGATTTGAGAGTTTCAAGACAAACAGGTACTTATTCGGTATGCCTTATGGTTGATTAAGGCAGTGAAACCGGTTTTAGTAATATCCTATGGAACAATAGCTCACATGAAACATCAAACACATGACTTAAGTCTAGTTTTAGGAAGCAATGTAAAGTCATCTAGTTTCGACGTTTGGAATCTTTATTCATAAGATATCATTTAGGTCTTATTAGAATATATACATTATGTCAGGTAAATTGTTTCAAGTACATGTTGCTTCTAATGCTTACCGATGCATGGTTTTTGCAGTTTTGAGCAATTTTGCATCAATTTGACAAACGAGAAACTTCAGCAACATTTTAATGAGGTTTGTCTGAAGTCTGCTTCTTCTTCTGATAGTTGCCTTTTATTCAGTCTTACTCCTTCTTGATCCATGATATGATACTTCTTCTTGGGCAGCACGTGTTAAAAATGGAACAAGAAGAGTACAAGAAAGAAGAAATTAATTGGAACCAAATTGAGTTCTCTGATAATCGAAAGGTTTTGGAACTTATTGAGAAGGTAACTAGTTCTACGACGTTTTACCTTCGAGCTCTTAGTGAATAGTTTCCATCTAAAGTCAAACTCGCATGTTCATCATTGTTTTTCTCACGTTTCAGAAACCTGGTGGTATTATTGCTCTTCTGGACGAGGCTTGGTAAGCCTAAGAGCTTCAATATTTGCTATTACTGTCTCTGCTTTGATATTGACGTTTTATACCTGTATCTTGCAGCATGTTCCCAAGATCAACACATGAAACATTTTCTCAAAAGCTGTACGAAACATTGAAAAAGAACAACTACTTCAGCAAGCCAAAATTATCTCGTACTGAATTCACAGTCTGCCACTATGCTGGTGATGTGAGTACAAACCTGATCTCAGCATTCTGAGTTTTTAATAATGCAATCATGTCCTAAAGTACAAGTTGACTATATCCTAAAAGCATTGGTTTTTTCTTTCTTTTCAGGTCACCTATCAGACGGATCAGTTTCTTGAAAAGAACAAAGATTATGTTGTTGCTGAGCATCAGGCTCTGCTAGGTTCTTCTAGGTGCACTTTTATTGCAGAACTGTTTCCTGTTCGAATGGAAGATGCTAGCAAGCAGTCAAAGTTCTCTTCTATAGCTGCACAATTTAAGGTGCAGTAAAACGGTGTATTTTCTTATGTAGATAATCATTCTGTTCCATGGCAGAATTACTGAAGTCACAGTCTTACTCTATGCAGCAACAATTAGCATTACTGATCGAACGTCTTAGTACTACTGAGCCTCGCTATATTCGTTGCGTGAAGCCTAATAATCTTCTAAAGCCTTCTATCTTTGAGAACCAAAATGTTCTGCAACAGCTACGTTGTGGGGTGAGACTTCACTAACATTTTTGGTTTGTCTGAACACATTTGCTCGTGCGAGTTTTAAATTTCTGTATAAGCATGTTTTTTCAGGGTATGATGGAGGCAATCAGGATTTGTCGTGCTGGATATCCTGCACGAAAACATTTTGATGAATTCCTGGACAGATTTTGTATCCTAGCTTCTGTTACTTTGGCCAAGAGGTGTGACTCTCTCAATTCAGAGGTTTCAAGCTTACCTAAATATCAAAAACGATCTAACTTTTAGGCTTGTTCCTAGTAGTTCTGATGAGAAAGCAGCCTGCAAGAAGCTCCTGGAGACAGTTGGACTTAAAAGATACCAGGTACTTATTTTGTGCATGTTTCTTTTTTGGAAACTTTGATAAATGCTTTAGTGTGGAGTTTAACGTTCTTGTTTTTTTGCAGATTGGAAAGACGAAGGTTTTCCTCAAGGCTGGGCAGATGGCTGAATTAGATGCTCGGAGGACTGAGGTGTTAGGAAGAGCAGCCAGAATCATACAGTCGAAATTCCGCTCCTACCTGCTCCTCAAGGCTGCAACAAATTTGCAGGCTGTGTGCAGAGGTATATATCTAAAAGTTGTAGAGAATATTAGCTTACTTAACTACTATTCAGACAGTTAGAGGATAAATGTGACTGTTTCATTTATTGTTTACAGGTCAACTAGCTCGACATAGATTTGAGGACTTGCGCAGAAAAGTAGCTGCTGCTCTAAAGATCCAGAGAGCTTTGCGGATCTACCTTGATAGGAAGTGTTTTACAGAAGCTGTTGTTACAATCCAGTCTGGTTTCCGTGGCATGGCTGCTCGTCTTGTACTGCGAAGGAAGACCAAGGCCACAATTGTGATTCAGGTGGCAAAATCTTTCTTTTTTTTAGTGAAAATTTTGATGGAAGAAAACATGTCTCTTTCTTTGTCTTTTCATCTTTGAGCTTTGCAGGCTTTTATCATTCCTCCATATTTCTTCTAGACTTTTGATTTTGATTTTTCCTTGCATATTCCAGAGGCATTGCCGTAAATTTGTGGCAGAGTCGCACTACAAGAAGCTGAAGAAAGCAGTGATTACGACACAAAGTGCATGGAGAGCGAGGCTAGCCCGTAAAGAACTGCGAGAGCTTAAGATGGTGAGATTTTCTACCTCTCGCTTCTAGAAATTGCATTCCGTTTGATTGTCTTCGAACACAGAGACAGTGATGTCTTCATATCTTTTGCAGGCTGCAAAGGAAACTGGAGCTCTTCAAGCTGCCAAGAGTAAGCTTGAGAAGCAAGTGGAAGAACTCACATGGAGACTTCAGCTTGAGAAACGCATGAGGGTCTGATAAAACACGGCCCTTTATCTTTTTCTACTTTCCTTTCTAGAAATCTTTCTCTTGATGCTGATTCAACACATCCTTCGCCTGGTATTGTGGCTTTGGCGTTGTAGGTGGACGTGGAAGAAAGTAAAACACAAGAGAATGCAAAACTGCAATTAGCATTGGAGGAAATACAAGTCCAGTTCAAGGAAACCAAAGTGTCGCTCTTAAAGGAAGTGGAAGCTGCGAAAAGAAATGCGGAAATTGTTCCTGTAATAAAGGAGGTTCATGTTGTTGACACCGAGCTAATGGATAAACTTAAGAGTGAAAATGAAAAGCTCAAGGTAGGGGAATTTGCTCTGTCCTATTAGTTTTGACGAAATTGTTCAAATCTGTGGAAAACAAAGCGAAATTTGGAATTTCATTTCTGTTTCATATGCAGAGCCTGGTAAGTTCGCTGGAGCAGAAGATTGATGAAACAGAGAAAAGATTCAAGGAGACAAGCAAAATCAGTGAGGAGAGGCTGCAGCAGGCTCTAGACGCTGAAGCCAAAATTGTTAATTTGAAGACCGCCATGCACAAGTATATACTATTGGTCTCTTAGCTTTAAGGTTTCCATAACTCACTGACATTCAACATATGCACTTTTTCTTTCATTTGCAGACTAGAAGAGACATTAGAGGATGTGAAATATGAAAACCAAGTTTTAAAGAAATCTGTCTCAAGCACACCTGTTAAGACAGCATCAGGACGGCTCCTTTCTACTCCAGTAAAGGTACTGTATATATATCCAACACAAACTGACCGTTTACTTTTACCTGACTGTATATCCTTGAAATCCTTCCCTGCAGGGTGCTGAATCAGGATCTGACACTAAGTCGAGGGGATCCCATATTGATCCTCAACATGTATGTTTTTTAGTTTAAACTACTCGATTAGGTGCTTCCAGTCTTCATTGTGTCTCCTCTTTGGTTGAAGATAGGTTCTCTCTTTTTTGGTAATACAGGAGGATGTGGATGCCCTTATCAACTGTATCACCAAAAACGTTGGATTCAGCCAGGGGAAGCCTGTAGCGGCATTTACCATCTACAAATGCCTTCTTCATTGGAAATCCTTTGAAGCAGAAAAAACCAATTTGTTTGATCGTCTTGTTCAAGTAATTGGCTCTGCTATTAAGGTACTAAAACGGGGAGGCTGTCTTGTCAACTTCCGTTCAAATCTGTTTTTCTGTTTCAGAGTTGAATGACTAATGATTATTTCTATTCAGAATGAAGAAGACAATGCTAATTTGGCATATTGGTTATCCAACACTTCGACCTTATTGTTCATGCTCCAACAAAGTCTGAAATCTGGTGGAACCGGAGCCACTCCACTTCGAAAGTCACCTTCTCTCGTCCGATGGATGACCAAGGTATCAACAAAGGAACTTATCAGCTTGTACCTTACACTCTTAAGAAAATGCTGGAACATCTCACTAACAACTCTTCCTTCTTTTTATTTGCCAGGGTTTCCGTTCTCCAGCGGCTGAAGCGATTCGACCAGTTGATGCCAAGGATCCAGCTTTGCATTTCAAGCAGCAGCTTGCAGCATATGTTGCAAACATTATCGGAATTATTTGGGATAACATGAAAAAGGAGTTGAACACTCTCCTCACTCTCTGCATCCAGGTGCTATGCTCCACAATGCTTCTCTCTACTTTCATCTTTCCTGTTGTATGTATGTGTTGTGAGCTGACATGAGAGACTCTCTCTAGGCACCTAAAGCGTTTAAGGGGAATGCGCTAATATGCATTACAACGGCTAATTACTGGCAAGGGATTATTGAAGGCCTAGATGCACTGCTTATCACACTAAAAGACAACTTTGTATGTGAAATCTCGTTTCCACTCTAAATGCTCTTATCTCTCTAAATGTCTGAGAGATTCTTAATAGCGTTTTCTTGTTTCAGGTTCCTTCGGTTCTCATCCAGAAGATATTCTCTCAGGCTTTCTCACTCATCAATGTCCAACTATGTAACAGGTGAGAGAGATTGTTTCTTTCTCTATCATATTATTGGAATATGCAGAAGAACCCACTTTAACCGACTTCTTCTTCTTTCTGATCTGCAGTCTTGTCACGCGACCAGACAACTGTTCGTTTATCAATGGAGAATATGTAAAATCTGGTTTAGAAAAGTTGGAGAAATGGTGCTCCGAAGCAAAAGAAGAGGTATTCCTGAGTACACTTTCCTTGGTTCTTCTTTTGTTATCGTCATTTGGTTTATACATTAACACAATATCTCGCATATGTTACTCGTCTTTGATAGTATGCTGGCTCATCTTGGGACGAGCTCAAACATACCAGACAGGCTATTGGATTCTTGGTATGTTTCTAAACTTGTTCTGAATTTTGAGAAATATCATCTAAGCAAGTCAAATTTATCTTTGCGTTTCTCACCATGCTTCCTCCACTTGTATTTGCATGTATACAACAGCTCATCCATAAGAAATACAAAATCTCGTACGATCAGATTGCAAATGATCTGTGTCCAGTAAGTATCTCTATCGACCAACTCTTCTGATGAACTTTGACACTGTGATCACGCTGACACCATTTTTCCCTTTGACTCAGATCCTTAGAATTCAGCAGCATTTCAAACTGTGTACTCTGTACAAGGATGAGATCTACAACACAAAAAGTGTTTCCCAAGATGTAAGCTTTCTTTAAAAACAGTTCTTTAGATCTTTAGCCTTTGCTCCCTTTTGCTCTACATGACCGTTTCTGGGATGAAACAGGTCATCTCAAGCATGACAGGAGTTATGACAGACAGTAGCGACTTCTTGTTAAAAGATGATTCGAGGTAAGAAGTTGTAATGGCTTTGCATCTATCTTCTTAATGTAAAAAGCCAATATAGGGAAACTAAACAATACTGTTCCTGTTTTTGCCCTCACGCAGCAACAGCATTTCCTTCTTGATTGATGACTTATCTAGTTCAATGCAAGATAAAGACTTTGCCCAAGTGAAACCTGCTGAGGAACTCCTGGAAAACCCAGCTTTCATTTTCTTGCTTTAGTCTAAACCAAATCTTGCCCCCTTCAAGAACACCACCATCCAGAAGCAAAGAGGAAGAATCTCGGAGCGAAGAATATTTTTGTAGATTCGCCGATTCATTTATATGTTTCTCATTTTAACTCTCTAATCATCCCAAGTATATGCTGGGGGAAAACAAAGAGACATGGTGGTTATAGACTTATAGTCTGTTGACTGTTGTTGTTGTTGTGCAGCAATTTCTCTCTTCTCTTTAGTTTTCTTCTGAATTAATAAATTTTTATTTTGGGTCTGACTCTATGGTTATTGTACATAAGAAAACAAGTTTTAATGGAAGAAATTCGTTTGTATTTCTATACATTGATCAGTGTTTATATATTGAAATCATAGGTACTCCATAAAAGAATGTTTTGTTCACTAAAACTCTCTCTCTAGTGAGTAGTGACGACGATGAATGAATGAACGAATGACCATTAGCGCCGAAAAAGTCAGTTACAAGTTATATAAACTTAATAGGCCTTAAAGTAGGCCCATTAGTATTGAAAAGGCCCAAAAAACGAAGAAGCTAATGTTTGGTGGAGTAACAAGACATATGGGTGGCTTAATCTCAGGCAAATGTTGTTCCTATGTCTCATCTCTTTTAGCTCCTATCTCCCATCGGTAAATTAGTCATTAGGGTCTGCTTCTGGGGAATTTTCTGAATCTCCGCCGTTTTGGCTCGATTACAGATTCTGGTCCCTTTTTCCTTTGAATTTACCGATTTTCGATTCTGTTTTAATTTTTCTCTCACTCAGAACCTTTAAAAACCCTAATTTTGAAAACAATAAGCTTCTTAGAACCATCTTCCATCGATCCGTGTACATTAAAGGAATTGATTGAAGAAGATGCCTCCAAAGCAAAAGGCCGATTTGGCGAAAAAGCAGAAACAAGTGGAAGACAAAACATTCGGGCTGAAAAATAAGAACAAGAGCAAGAATGTCCAAAAGTATGTCCAGAGTCTCCAGCAATCTGTTCAGCCTAAACCCGATGCCTCTAAAGCTGCAGCCAAGGTAACGTGTCACTCCTTGAATCTCTTTCGAATCCTGAGATTGGCTTATTGGGTTTCTTAGCTCGATAGTGGAGTAGATGAGTGAGAGGTCATTTGGTTGGTTAGATTTTTGCTTACGGAAGAAATGTTTTATTTATTGATTTGGAGGACAGAAAAAGAAAGAGGAAGAGAAAGCGAGAGAACAGGAATTGAATGAGTTGTTCAAGGTAGCCATTAGTCAGCCCAAAGTTCCTGTAGGTACGTATGTATGTTTTTTTCATGATGAAAAGAAAAAGTTTGATCATTTCTGTGTTGTTTCGAATTTCGATCTACACTTGTAGAATCTGACGGTGGTTTTGGTTTTGGTGATGTTTGTTGACAGGTGTGGATCCCAAGTCGATCCTGTGTGAGTTTTTCAAGGCCGGGCAGTGTCAGAAGGGATTCAAGTGCAAATTCTCTCATGATTTGAACATTCAAAGGAAGGGTGAGAAGATCGATATTTACAGCGATAAGCGTGATGAAGGCAAGTGTGGCACAAAACTATCTTATATATCTCCCGTCCTTGTGAACCGTCGTCTTATTGTTGCTTTTTTTTTTATTGGTTTAGATGGAACGATGGAGGAGTGGGATCAAGAGACCCTTGAAAAAGTTGTGGAATCAAAGAAAAACGAGTACAACCAGAATAAGCCTACCGATATTGTAAGTTGTCTCGTTATCTCTCTTAATGCACTACGCAAACGCCTAAAGTGATATTGTAGTGAGCTTGTTATAAGAGACGACGGTTTTGCTCATTGTTTTTGTGTGTGTGTGTGTATAAACAGGTGTGCAAGTATTTTCTGGATGCAGTGGAAAAGAAACAGTACGGATGGTTCTGGGCATGTCCCAATGGTGCGAAAGAGTGTCATTACAGACACGCTCTTCCCCCTGGATATATCCTTAAATCTCAGATGAAGGCCCTCTTGGAAGAGGAATCAAAGAAGATGCCAGTTGAAGAAGAAATCGAGAATGAGGTTTTTCTTCTTTCTAAAATACTCTCCTCATAAGCTGCTAAGGCCTAAGGACCCTGAACTTGATTCGTGAGGGATTTTCTTGTGCTATGTTTCAGCGTGCAAAACTGAAAACCGCAACACAAATGACTCCTGCGCTATTTATGGAATGGAAGAGGAAGAAGATAGCTGCTAGAGATGCAAATTTGGCTGCGTCTCAAGCGGAGAGAGCTAAGAACGACCGTATGAGGTAATCCCATTCCCATCATTTTGTTTCCTATCCACCACCTCCGGTGCGACTCTTTTTTTTTTCCTCGTAAGCTGATTCGTTGTGTGGATAATGTTGTGTAATCTCAGCGGTCGGGAGCTGTTTCTGTCCAATGCAAGCTTGTTTGTGGATGATGCTGAGGCTTTTGAAGAATATCAGAGGGAAAAAGAAGAGGAAGAGACTGAACACAAGGTGAATTTTCTTTCTCTCTCTCGATCTCTTCATTTGAAGTTAAATCATCAGCCAAGTCTCATTCATGTTAATGGAATGTTTGGGTTTTTGTATCTCAGGCAAAGGACAAAGAAACAGAGGCAGGGACAAGCAAGAGTAGTGGTGATGCTGAAAAGAGTTCGAAAGAAGTGGTCGAAGAAGAAGATGAAGATGACGATGATGATGATGACTTAGACATGGATGAGCTTGATGAACTGGAAGCAAGCTTGTCGAAAACATCAATCCAGATTCGTGATGAAGGATCATCATCTTGAGATGTGAAAAAAACATTTGTGAGAGGTGGTGGTGGAGGAGAGAAAGCACATGTTTTGCTTTTTGTGTACTTTCTATAAATTGGATTTTTGCAGCACACACGAACCTATTTCAGGTGTTGGAATAATCTGTTACTCGTCTTTTTTAGATCTTAATGTCGTCTCGTACTACTAGTGTCTTCTTCTCTCTTTCTTTGTTCTTACATCTTAACTGTTGTTGTTATATCTATGTCATCCTTATACATTGTATGCCAAAAAAATCGTAAAGATGAAAACATTTCAGTAAAAGCTGAAATGTGTCGCGTGCTCTTGTGAATAAGTATTTCGAATATCAAAATACATATAAAGCGGAGAAGAGAGAATTTGGTAACTATTTTCTGTGATAAAAAGAGGACTCCACAAATCAGGGACGAGACAATTCAATAAAAGAAAAGAGAAAAAGAGTAGCCATGGTAGCCGCCGCATCAGCCAACGTCGCGAACCTGACATCAACGTCGGTGTTTTCGAATCGGCCACTCTCTTTCTTCATGTTAAGCGGAATCAGAAACTCCTTCGCGTTACCTATGAGGACATGTCTGAAGCCAATCACACCTCTCCGAATCGCGTCTTGGCCACCACACGGTCGTTCTGTTAGAGCCATGTCTACTTCGTCTTCTTCTCCATCATCTTCCTCCGGATCGACACTGGAGGAGAGCGTTAAAACGACGGTGGCGGAAAATCCTGTCGTCGTCTACTCCAAATCCTGGTGCTCGTAGGTTCACTTTCTCTTACTATTACTATTCACAGTTCGTGTGTTCAATTGAAGACTTGATTTTGGCATTTTGCCGCAATTGGCCTAGTTATTTCGTCCCTTTGATCTACGTTGTCTGTTTATTGTGTGTTGGGTTTGTGGTGAAGATACTCGTCTCAAGTGAAGACGTTGTTCGGGAAGCTTCAAGTTAAGCCGCTGGTTATTGAATTGGATGAGCTTGGTATGCTTCCTTTAACATTCTTCTACACTGATTACTTTGCTAGATTGGTTTTGATTATGAGTCATGTGTGTGTGATGTTTTGTTTTGATCAAGGAAAAGCTTGTTTCCAAGTACAGCATTTAGACAGGATCTAGTTATTACTTGATAATTGTTCGTCTTCGGATTGATTTGTTGGTTGCTTAATTGAATTGGTTTGTATGTTTATGAAACAACACTCTTTAGGACTTTTGAGTCTCTCAACTTTAAGATTGTGTCATGTAGGATTAATGTGTAGAGGGATTTTCTAATGGACCGAGATAGCTTATACACTTTGGAGATTCTCTGGTTTGTTGATGAAGAATCACAGTTGAGGGGATTTCTTATGGCTTAAGCCTTTGCTTCTGTTTCCTGCAAAATGTTCTTAGTAATCTTTATGCCTTGTCAAGATGTTGTGACTTTCCGATGACATTTGCTCTTTATTGTCTTGACTTGGATTTATCATTTATGGCCAAACCATTGTCTGCCTAACTGTATTGGTCTGAAACATTCGAGTTGTTTTGGTGTGTGATTTCGAGTATTTTCCAGGCTCGGAGGGGTCGCAGCTGCAGAATGTGTTGGAGAAACTTACTGGACAATACACTGTTCCCAATGTTTTCATCGGTTAGTTTTCTCATCATTTGCATTGCATTAATCAAATAATCATGACCATATATCACTTGACTCATCTAATTTTGTTTGTTCATGGCCAGGAGGAAAGCACATTGGTGGCTGCTCAGGTACACTCTCTCTTCCTCACTCTTTACTCTGAAGATCTTTTTTTGTTTCTAATCTCAGAATCTTAATAAGATCTTGTGTGTATTGGCACCAAGATCGTGCTTAATGTCTTGTCATCTTTTTCTGATAAATCAACTTGATCTCCATGTCTCTATTGTTGAACAGATACATTGCAGCTGTATAATAAAGGAGAGCTGGAGCCATTGATATCTGAAGCAACTGGAAAAACCGGTCAGGCCTAAGAGAGATTTAGAGAAGAAACTGGTTTGAGTTTTTTTCATGTGTTCCGGGTTTTGTTTATTCCGAACCTCTGAATAAAATTTCTTGAAGTCGAGATGATGTTTGGTGTTTTAACGTTGCTGTCTATATTGACCTTTCATAAGAAAACATACGGTTTTGATGAGTTTGATCGAGTCACAACTTGGGAATTTGCAATCAATTGTTGGTCGCTAATAATAATATGCACATGTTCATGGATAAACTGAATTGGAGATTCCAAAAGATAGACATGAATTGTTGGTAAACTTTTTGGTACATACGGTTTGGTTCAAGATTACAAACATACGAGCCGTTTAGTGATAAGCCAAATGTCTCATTTGACTTCTTCGATCTCGTCCAATGCGTAGTTATTGGTCGATATATTGGCGTAATTCACCTTTGAGAACCGGACCACAACCGGATATCGGGTCTTTGGGTCCTGTTGATTGTAAACTGGAATATAAGATGAAAATAAATCTCTACGTTGGATCGTTAACTCGGAGAGTAAAGAGTGTTATTACCTGATCAACGGCCACAACTGATCCAACATTCTTGTACCAGTATGATTCTTTCCTTAGAATCTTGACCTGTGAGTCCCCAAAATTTCATGAAGGTTTCCACATTAGCCTCATAACTCGGAAAATAGAATTATATAGATGAACTTATTGCAGAGATACATAATTTAGCTCAAAAATGTAGTTCAGTCTTTTTTAGTGACATCTTTCTTGCACAGCTATGGTTTGGAAAATTGAAGAGTCCCATAATTTCATAAAAGTAACCCCATAGTATAGTTCTTAAAATCTTCCAAATACAGTAGAGCCGAGAACTTGTAACAGCTTCTCTAATAACTCGAATATATATAAGTAGAGAGCCTATACGATGCGATGCATAAACATGTATCACAGATTATATCTGTGTATGCAACGATTGATATGTATATGATGATGAGCTATAGTCTTTAGAAGAGCTGACCTTAGATCCTCTCTTGGGCCCAATCGGAGGAGGTTTAGCCTTAGCGGCCGGAGCTTCCGCCGGAGGAGCAGCGGCGGTGGTCGAAGAAGCCTCCGAAGAGGCGGTTGCCGGAGATGCTTCCTCCGCAGCTCTGACTACTAGCCTCGAACCGAAGCTTCTCATCGGCAAGAAAGACACGGCGGCGATCTTCGAAGACGCCGAAGAACCGCCGCCTACAGCCGCCGTAACATTGGCCGGAAGAATAAATCCGGTAGCTGCTGACGTCATCGCCATCTGTGCGAATGTTTAGAAGTACGACGGAGACAATGTTGGTTGTGTGATCGAAAAGGCTAAAGAACAGAGGAAATGAGGACAAAAGCTTGAGATGTTTTGGGGTTAAAACGAATCGTTTTCACCCACTTGTGATATGACACGTGTGATCACATCTCGGTTCGTCAAGATAATGTGATGACATGGCAACCTTAAAATGAAAAATTAATTATTTTTATCCGAAAGGAAACATCTGTAAAATTAGGGCTGCCTTGCCGCCCAATTTCATTTCTCACTTCCGATTTCAAATTCTTATGAACCGCCATTGAAGCGTGAAATCTCTCCTCCGTCTATCATCGCCTTCGTGAATTAGCTCAGACGATCCACGATTCAGTTTACATCCTGATGAATTTCAGTTAATTCGTGATGAGAAGAAGGAATCACCAAGCGAAAGCGGCCGAAACCGTAAAGAAGACCAATCCGCAAATTGGGTTCACGTTTCCTGATCCTTCGAGCTCCCGAGCACATTCAGGTATGTAAACCTCGATTTCGTTATCGTGGGTGTGTATGTTTGTGTTTTTTCTTAGAAATTTTATCTCCATTTGGTCTAGATTTGAAACGCAAGAGAAGGGTGAGTTTCGTCGATGTTGATCATCGGAATCTCTTGGACGATTCCCCAGAAGCTCAAACCGGTCGATGTGAGTTCGTGAATCGCCTGGATTCATCTGTAATTCCGAATAATCTCAGATTTAGTAAATGTTGAATTTGATTCTCATTTGCAGCGCTTGATGCCAAAACCTCAGAGTTTGCGTTCTTTAAGAAGCTAAAGTCCGATTTTGGTCGCTGCTCTGAAACTTCTGACTCTAAACCATCTAATAGAGTCAATCAAAATCCGGACACCTTCGAATCCAGAAGCCACAACGGTTTGTGGTTTTTTTTATCAACTCTTCTTGTGATATGATGATAGTGTCTGCTGCTTTTGCTTCCCACTGGATTTTCATCTCTGCCGTTTTAAAACCAGAATTTGCAGGAACGGATCGCGAAGTTGAAGATAAACGCGATAGTTGTAGCTTCTCCACACCCATTCATACTGGAAGACGTGGTTCTTGTGGCTTGACTCGAAAGGATAAAGGTTGTTAGCAAAACCATTTGCAAACCCCTTCTCTATTAGATGTTTATAGCTCTGTAGATCTCTTAGAGGTATTTGGGTTCTAGTGATCCCTAAACGTTCTTCTGTGTTTCTGTTGATTTTAGAGAAAGATGCTGGGAAATCTTCTTCAGGATTCAGTAGAGATAAGGACACAGTTCGAGGTGGTAACAACCTGAGATTTGGAGGTAGATTCTGGATATCTTAGCTCTTGGATTGATCTACGTTACAAAGAAGCCAAGCATAGTAATCAATAGTTTAAGAAACTTGATATTAAGTAGTTTTTATTATCAGAAAGCAGTGATGAAAAAGGAGACTTGTTCTCTGTGAAGAGGAAGAGACTGAATCAGTGGGTCAAAGATACATGGTTTCCTCAAATCCCTGAGCTTACCTCAAACGGGTACACAAAGAGTCTTCTTTGTTTCAATCTCAATTCTTGTTTCTACAATGCATTAAAATGAACAACATTTTTCAGGCAGGATTTAGTTTCCGTTCTCCTAAGTCGGCTGTTCCCTGGTGCGGAGGAGACGCATGTAAGCTTGATAGAACTTCCGAGTTGTACTAGTCAACTTGCTCGATCAATCCTAAGCACTTTTTTGTTTCCTCTCAGCCTTCTAGGTTCCCCAAGGAGAAGACGGATAGAGTCAAAAGAAGAACGTTTCTTGATTCTCCTGGATCCAAGTTTCTCAAGAGGTCCCATGGAAGCTACACTGAAGTTGACCACAGTCTGAAACTGGAAAGGGACAGATCGATATCTTGGCTGGAAAATAGCATTGCACCGAGTCTGCAGTTTCCAACAGATCATTTTCACAGCAGTTTCATCCCAAGAGATCCGGAAGAGATTAGCTTGTCCGTCGCATATCCGAAGGAATCAGTTTATAGACATCCGTTGTTGAAACAGAAGGCGTCGTCATTGTCGTTTCCTTCTGAAGAAACTCTGGACTGTTGTCCCATGTCTAGCCTCCATTTCAGAAACTACAAGCCTCTTTCACTGGGTTATCACAGAGAAGAAAGTGGATACAGGTCGGAGGACTTATCACATGATTGTAGAGAGCCTTCCTCTGCATTACTTCTGGAGTGGAATAATGAAACCGCAAGCACCAGAAAGACGGATGATTTGCCACTAAGTTACCACACGGAACTCATCGCATATCCAAATGCATCAACCTCACTATCTTTGACTGATAATCCATGGAGCTCTGGCTATTCTTCATCTCATGATTTGGTTGCAAGGGAGCTGTACCCTTTACCTCTGCTCTCTCGTTACACTATCAGCAGTTCCTTCATACCAGCAACGAACAAAACCAGCCATTTTGAGCATGAATTCGAGAGGCATGCTATTGATGACGAAGATGTGGTTGCTGCAAACAACAGTCTCCAGACGTTTCATCACTCAAATAGCTCAGATTGTTTAAGCAGAGACTACACATACTCTCCAGTGGATCATTGCCCTTTTCAAGTCCCTGGATGTGAGATAGTACCCTTTCCAGTTTCCAGCATCAGCGATTCAATTTTGTTGGAAGCGTCAAGTCCATCACAAAGCGATCTTTTTAGCACTCATGATTGGATACGCTTTTGAGTAGCTATGAGCTTAAGAGAGCAGCTAAACAAGTAATCATGTTGATCTGACTTAACAACTTGATATGTGTATTTGAGTTCCGAAATTGTTGTGTGTTTGAACCATTGGTTGTTGATTATAAAGTAACTTGAAAGATGAGAAAATGTTACAACGGGTTAATCAGATTACTAGTATACAAGGTGCAGACTCAGAGAATCTTTGAAACAACACATCTTTAATATTTTTTGAGAAACAAAAAAAGAGAAAAATCAGATGAATTGGATGTTGCACTTTGATGAAAGTCTCGGGAGAGACTTAACATTAGCTCGCAAGAACTTACTCTCCACGCCAAGATCAACTCTCACAGTTTCAAGACATTTCAAATTGCCCAAGAAATGTCTCATCTGTTTCAGCTCTTGGAAAGAACCACCATATTCTGAAATCTCTAGCACCTTCACTTGACACGTCCATAAACAACATATCTCCTCCTTCTTCATCTTCTTCTTCATCCTCTTCTTCTTCTTAGGGATGCAAGCGCATGCATCTCCGCATCTATTTGTTACTCTGTGCTCAAGACCCTGTAAACAAGACAAGAGCACCACCAAATTTGTGATTATGGCGGCGACAAACAACAAATAAAAAAGTAATAATTTACCTTGAAGACTAAAGTCTCTAGAGTAGGACAACTCTTGAGCAGAAGTGGCATTACTTGCCAACCTTTTTCTTTGTTGCTCTCAATGGATAAATTAAGGAGCTTGTTGAACACCGGCATTGATTTACAACAGAAATGAAACGCCTATTATGAAAACACAACCCAATTAAATAAACTATTCTCTTCATATTGTGAGAAACCTCCACAAGTAAGCAAAAAACTGACCTCAAGGGAATCAGAAGATAAGTGAAGGGTCGTTATGTTGCTTATCCCCGCAACTAGGCCAGTCACATTACCAGATATAGGATTTGGTTTAACTCTACCAACAGAATAATAACCACGGTCATCGTCATCATCATCATCGTCCTCATCATCGTCATCATCATCATCATAATCATAACCATCATAGTCATCATAATCGTTAGTTGACACCCACAACCTGATATTCAGCCTGGCTTCGACAAGCATATCCAAATCACGAAACCGATACTTGGGGTAGACATAACTAGAATAGTCCAAGAAGACAAGACTTGGTGCATGAACAACAAACAGATCGTCATCAGCTTCACAATTGGGATGGTTGGTAAAAAACACAAACCGCTTGAGGGATGCACTATTCACGTCCCTACCGCAACAATTCCAACAGATTGGCTGCTCCGGATCTTCATCACGTACGTGTAACTCTTCCAGCGCAGGGCTGCCACTTAGAAGCCGACAATAGTTGTCATAATCAAACCGAACTGATACGAGAGAGAGTGATTTGAGCGCTGGGAAGTACACACGCTCCACTTGAAGACAACAACTACCGGACAGTGTGAGCTTAACCAGTGTGTTACTCGTTAACAACTTAGTTTCCAACCCTAGAGCAGACCACGGGTTTGCGTGCAAGTGTATTTCCGATAAGCCGCGTTCCATAGCAGTCAAAATCCAACGGTGGACACAAGAGTTCACACGATCGACACCATCATCACGTACGTGTAACTCTTCCAGCGCAGGGCTGCCACATAGGAGCCGACAATAGTTGTCGTAATCAAACTCAACTGATAACTGATAACAGAGAGAGTGACCTGAGCGCTGGGAAATACACACGCTCCACTTGAAGACAACAGCTACCGGATAGTGTGAGCTTAACCAGTGTGTCACTCGTTAGCAATTTAGTTTCCAACACTAAAACAGACCTCGGGTTTGCGTGAAAGTGTATTTCCGATGAACCGCGTTCCATGGAAGTCCAAATCCAACGGCTGACACAAGAGCTCACACGACGGATATCATCTTCCCCTATACTAGACAAAGAGCATGAGAATTTCTTCATGGGAGCATTGCTTAAAAGAGCGTATGCCCTGTCCAAGAAATCACACAAGACACGCAAACCTCTCGTCTCTTCTTCTTCGTCGGCATACACAACCATCGACTCATCCAACCACACGGTGTCTACAAGCCCCAACAGATTCCTCCATCTCTTTGACAGAACCGATGTGGAAGCAGCCCCTTTTGTCGGAATTAAAGACAGGATTTTGCCAAGAATCTCGTCTGGCAAATTGCTTATCGAATCGCTACACTCCATTCCCCCTATCAGAATTACGACTTCTAATCTCTCCTCACTCGATTAGCCTCGCAAGTTTCTCCTTTTTCCATTCAAACAATCCAAAGCTCTCGAATCTAAAAACCAGATTATCGATCCGAGAGAGGTAGGTAGTAATTCATGAAGATACCAGTTTTGGACCAAGCAAAAGAAAACCAAAACTTACGACGACGTCAGAGCAGATCGAGAAGCTTGTTTCGCTTGTCTGGAGGCGAAGCAGTTTTATAAAAACAAAATTGTAAACTTACCAAATTGGGCTGCTACAAAGTGACCGGAGCCCAATATTGCCTTTTGATTACATTTTCACAAAAATAATAATTCATTCTCTTCCTATTGGGCCACTTGGCAATTCGCATTATCAATTTACACATATTTTAGTTTATATATTTTTCCTTAATATAAATAGCTACCATTTTTACCGCTGCTCATTACACTTGAGGCGATTTCATCTTGCCAACGACAACAATTTGCTACTCTGTGTGTCATGTCATTGTTTCTATATTCGTTTAGGTACTAACACATTCAAGCTCAGAAAGACATAAGAATCGATGATTTAAGCCACATTACTCCTGAATTGATTGAAGAAGAGTAGATGTTCGATGAATCATCGATATTATTTGATCCGACATAGACTGTTATATGGTTGAGATGGTAAATGATCTTTATTCCAGAGTTTATCATGGGGGCGTTTGGTAACTGGTCGCCATTCTTCTTTTTTTATGAACCTCGTAGACCATTCTCAACTACCAAAGTAGTTGGAACTCATTCTCTAAATAAAAATCACTAACCAGATTGAGAAAGCTGGAAATTATATATATAAAAAAAACAGAATCTTAATATATACGTAAATGCAGATATATATATGGTTGGTTCTTTGTTGTTTGCTTCCCTCTCGTTCAATATGATGGTACTTCTCTTTTCCCATCAATTATCATTACTCTCCGCAATAAATTTTGTAATTATGAGATTTTTTTGTGTGTATGGTCAGCTGAAAAAATGTAATGTTTCTAGTGGAAATCGAATTTCGCAAGGACAAACTAATAGACACTAAAAAACCTACTGGATCAGAAGTTAGTTTGTACGTAGTAAATGCAATCGAACAGAAAATCTACGAACCGGTTCCAAAGTTTGAAAGTTTGATGATTCATGGCTTCATGCACACTAATAAACGCGAGAGTTAAAGCGCAAAAATGTGTCCACGTGGTCTACAAGGCTATAGGAGGTTTTAGTTTGGGATAGGTTTGGTTTTTATCTTTGGCAATGTTTTTAAAAAGTATGATTCTTCCCTTTTTATATAGTCTGTTATTTTCAAAAGAAACAATAGTAATATGGACTAAAATGAGTAGCAAAAAAAAATAAAAATAATAATCAGACCACAAAAAAGACATAAAGAGAATAAGTTGGTTGGTCCATTTAAGATATTCCTGGTCCCAATTATATTGGGTACTCCCTCCGTTTCAAATTAGTTGTTGTTTTGTCAAAATGTATCTGCAAATATTTGGACGTATCTGCAATGCAAAACACGTCCAGATACGTCCAAATATTTGCAGATACATTTTGCCAAAACGACAACTAATTTGAAATGGAGGGAGTATATGAAATACATATTAGAGTTGATGATCATTATTCTTGTATAGTTGCTTGCATATATATAATAAAACATATAACATGCTCAATTCTTGTGTCATTTATTAGCTAACAGCAATATTTCATATAATGCCAAATGTTCTTCTACATTTTTTCTTAGTTTAGGGGAGAGCCAATATTGTGAATTACTTTATACTTTCATCATTACTAAATATGCAAAATTCATATGCAATTTAAGAATTAGTAGTATTAATAAAATGTAAAAAAGAAAATATATTATTTTGCTAATGTTTAATTGCATTCAATTTTTATAGAACATATAATTTTTTTAGCAAATCATTAGATCAATATTAATTTATCATCAAAATAATAATCTTAATCAAACCATATATTATTGAATTTTATAGATCACACGTACTTGATTGTTAAACACATTATATAAACTTCGATTAAATGATACAGTATACTGAAAATCGAAAATGTATTAAGTATTAATTTAAAAGTACAAAAGTGAAGTGATGGGAAAGGTCATTTGCAGTTTTCCCCCTACTAAAAAGCCCATTCCGTAACAGATGTCATCCCCAAATACCTGAGCCTGTTAGATTCAGATATCATCTTCTCCGGCGAAGCTAACTCAACTCTCCGGCGGCGGAAGCTTGGAGATGTTTCTAATTCTAGCTAACTTCTACTTCCCAGGTCCTTCTCTCTCTCTCACTCTCTCATTGAGCATAAAACTGAAAATGTCTGACTCAAGCTCCGATCTCACTTTCCGAAAGCTCTTAGCTATTCTTTTATTTACCTTTCTTCTGATTCTGATTGGAAATAGCTGATTTGGTTGAGTTGATTTACTTCTTCTTTGTCTGTCAAATTGCTTCGTTATATCGATTTACCAGGAATTAATTAGTATAGTGGCGAACGAATTCGATTCACATTATTTAATCACGAGTTCGTCTATAGTCTATAGTCTACACTCTACACTGTGGAAGTTGTTCCACTGATTTTCAGTTTCATAATGCTAAAATCTGGTAAAATGCAGATCCAGGATTTTGTGATTTCGAGAGAATAAGAAATGTCGAAAGAGGTTGTAGACAGAAAGAGTTGTAGTAATGTGGTCGCCAAATTAATGGGGCTAGAGACTGCTGCACCACGGAGCAGATCCAGAATAGATAGAGAGTTGGAAGATGGATATGAGATATGGGAGCCGCATCAGAAGACGACGAGCCGTTCGAGAAAAGCAAAGTGTGTTGGGAGCAAGAGCGGCGGTGATAAACAGATGGATCTTGTTCGCCGGAAGTTCATGGAAGCGAAACGCCTGGTGACAGATGACAAGCTTCACAGGTCCAAGGAGTTCCAAGAAGCACTTGAGGTTCTGAGCTCCAACAAAGATTTGTTCGTCAAGTTTCTCCAGGAATCAAATTCCTTGTTTTCTCTGCATCTTTCCGAATTCCAGCCTCTTCCTCCTCATCCAGAGGCTACGCGCATCACGGTTTTGAGACCTTCCAAGGCTCAGAGATGTGTGGTTCAAGAGAGTAGGAACACTCAAGAAACTGCGCAGCCAACTCGTATAGTTGTCTTGAAGCCTAGTCCAGGTATTATGGCTATTGCTTCTGATGAGGCTGGAGATGCTGAGACTAGACAAGTGGCTAAGGATATTACACGTGGCATACGTGAGACTTTTAGGGGGCATTGCAGGGACGACACACTTTCGTCTTCTTCTTCCTCTTCTTGTGTCTTGTCCGATGACTATCCAGTGGGAAACTCTGAGATCATGTCACCCTCCTCTCGGCATTCGTGGGACTGTGTGAATAGGTTTGAGAGTCCTTTCTCGTCCTCTTCGTTCTCTCCGGAGTCATCATCTGTCTACAGAGAGGCAAAGAAACGGCTTTCCGAAAGATGGGCGATGATGTCACTAAACGGAGACACACAGCAGCAACAGAAACACTTGCCCTTGGGCGATATGCTTGCACTTTCAGAGACGAGAGTACCAAGCAGGTCCAACGAAGAGAGCAACGAAGCGAAGCAAGAGTCGACAAGGTCAGTATCATGCATAGGCAGTGGTCTAGGCCAAGCAGAAAGCACAAGTGATCCTCTGAATACCCTTGAAAGGTCAAAATCAGTCCCTGAGATTAGAGTCCATGGCGGAACTTCAGAACCACAAACAGAGTCAAGAAGCTTAAAACCATCGTGGAAAGTCCCAAGCTTGTTCTTGTTCAAGAATAGGAAAGCAAACAAGGAGAGAATGTCTCAATTGGCTGTGCCCTGTGATGCACCACAACAACAAAGTATTTCTTCAGGCGAGGTAAGTCACAACAAACCTGAAGAAGAAAACGATTAAAATGCTTTAGGAATGCTCTGAAACCATTGTTGATTCGCTTGCAGGACCAGCCGAGTCCAGTATCAGTTTTAGAGCCGCCTTTCGAGGATCCAGATTGTTGTGGGTCAACAAAGCCATGGACCACTCAAGGTTAGTTTTCAAAACTCTCTCTGTGGTGTTAAAAAAACTTATATCAGAAGGAGTGTAACACTTTGCTACTCTCAACATCTCTCACAGGAGAAGAAATGTCTCTGAAATCTAATCTAATCGACAAATCACCTCCAATCGGATCAGTTGCTCGGGTCTTCTCATGGGAAGATGAGTCATACACAGACTTAGCTAAACCCGGAACTGGACTCTCTCAAGATGAAGACTGGTATTACTTCATCAAAACGCTCTTAACAGCGTCTGGTTTCAGCGGTAGTGACCCGCTTATGACCCGTTGGCACTCACCGGACAGCCCCTTGGACCCATTATTACTAAGAGACGACTTTGCCAACAAGGAAGTCATCAAACGCAGGGAACAGCGATCAAACCGCAAGCTAGTGTTTGACTGCGTCAATGCCATCATAACAGAGACAACATCAAGAGCAGCACACACGGGATTGACCGAGGGGTTTGACATGGTGGAACATGTTTGGTCAGAGTTTAAGGAGGTTTTGGCTCAGGACTCGGCAAACAGCTTGAAAGGAGAAGTCAGGGTGAGGGAGGAGGTTGTCGGAGAAATGTGGAGTCATAATCTGCAAGTAGAAGTGAACAACTTGGGGACTGAAATTGAAGTGATGTTGTTGCAAGAGCTTGTGGAAGAGGCCGTCTTCAGTCTTGGATCTTACTCGTTGAAACAACGTATATATGCATTCATATAATTTGTTATTTTATACTTAATCTAAGTTTTTGTATAAAGTAACATACACATAAATGATATGATTTATGACATAATTTTAATCAGAATATAGTAGTAAGTACATACATTTGCATTAATCTATTTCAGCGTAAATTACTTTCTTCTTCTACTCCATTTTGTTTGACTATCAATAGAATCGAGAGCAGCAAAAAAGCTGGTAAATCTTTACACAGTGGAATTGCTAGTTTCAAACTGACGACATGTTTGTACACGCAAACACACAAAATAGAAATGGCTTGTGTTTTAATATTTTATGCACACTCGATAAGCTTACAAAGAGTAAAACATAGAGAAAGAGAGCTTCACAAAACGTTCCTTAAGGTTTCATCAGCCTTTCGGGTTCACCGCCTGAGCCTGGTTCAGTCCATACTGTGAAAAGAAAATTCAGTTTCATCAACAAATGTGTTGAAAAGTAGTATAAAGAAACTGTGAAATCATCAAGTACCCTTTCTCTGATTCGGGAGCTCCAGTTTTCATTCTTGCTTGACCCAGCAGACGCTTGCGAACCAAGAAGTGGGTCCCGAGCTCTATTCCTCGGGTTCTCATAATCTTCCTCGTCATCAGGATCGGGTGTCGGGGTCGAAACCATAGCTCTGAGAACCAGGGCCAGTAGCAACGACAGTAGCTGTATACCGGAAAGATTTATGTTTTGTTTTAAAACTCTCCAAACAGAATCTTTATGTATAAACCATGAAATGAAATAGGACTGATCCCAAGTTACCTGGACGGCTAACACAGCAACCCCGACCCATTTGCATATACCGATGTTCTCCTCGATGAAAGCTCGAAGACTATTGAGTTCTCCGGTTGGATCATACGGAAGATCCTAGAGAGCACAAACGGTTACAAACAAGTCAACAACAACACAAGAATTTGAAAGATGAGAAAGATGTCTCACCTTTTCCCAGTGACGGTCAATAGCGATGTATGCAACAAGGGCAGCTTCAAGTAGGATGAGGAGAGTTTTGAGAATAGAGTACTTCAAAAAACCGTCAAGGGTGATAGTGCTTTTTCAACTCTCTCAAAATGGAATCTATTCCAAACATATATGCCATGGTTCTTTACTTCGACAGGGTACAAATATCTAAATTTGATATTTTTAGATACCTTTTCAGACCTATTGCGGATACTAAGTAGCAGTCAAAAATTTGTATCCATTTTTCATGATATTATGCATGGATTAGATATATCGGGGCGAATTCTTCAGAAAAAATTGTGTCTTCCACAAAGGAATCTGATAAGTGAGATTGCGAGTAAGTCTTTACATAATCTTCTTCTGTCCGAAGAAATGATTCATCTAAATAATGAGTCATCATTGATATCGACACATCTGAGATCGCCGAATGTTCGTGAGGTCCTCTATTCAATCCTTTTCCTTCTTCTTGTTGCTGGATATATCGTTCGTACACATCTTCTCTTTGTTTCCCGAGCCTATAGTGAGTTACAGACAGAGTTCGAAAAGATCAAATCTTTGATGATTCCATCATACATGATTGAGTTGCGAAAACTTCTGGATAGGTATCCTACATCTGAACTGAATTCTTTCTGGTTAAAGAATCTTTTTCTAGTTGCTCTGGAACAATTAGGAGATTGTCTAGAAGAAATACGGGGTTCTGGCGGCAACATGCTATGGGGTGGTGATCCCGCTTATGGGGTCAAATCAATACGTTCTAAGAAGAAAGATTTGAAAATCAATTTCATCGAGATAAGCAGTCGGAGGCGACGGTGGAGGGTCAACGGGTACGTGACGGTTGTATTGATCGAGCATCCATATGGAGTAGATTATGATCGAAACACCGAAGAAAGCTTGCACAAAATTGAGGATCTTGAGAGTGGAAGCAAACGAGAAATGGCAGCAATTATGCCGCATTTTTTCTTTCTTTCTTTCTTTCTTAGAGATTCAAATGAAAGTTTGAATTTCACCAAAAGAAGCTGTACTGATGGATAAGGAGAGAATCAGAAGCTTATTCAATGGTCGTCTTCTTGTCTGTAAAGGTGTCCCCTTTCTTTTTGTTTGAAAATAAATATATTCATCTTTTGTTTTCACATTAGTCGTCGCTTGCAGACAGCAACATACAGTATTCTCCAAAAGGACAGAAACACGCTCTGATGTCTTTGTGTGCTGACTGGAAAATGGTTTAATTTATTTTTCCCCAGAAAGTAATTTTGAATTAAACTGGCCCAAATGATTAGGCCCATATACGAATCGGTTCTTTTGAACGGCCCATCATTAGTAGGAGAAAAATGGCGTTTCTTCCTCGTGCGAGCTGCAGCGGGAGATTTGGTATTCGAGAATGGCGAAAGCTCCGTCTCTTGCGTTTCTCTGCATCCAATCCCTCAAACTTGAGCTCCTACGAGGTAAATTTCGAGATAAAACTAAAATCTCAGGTCGAAATTGTAAGCTGATTTGAGCTTGGGTAATGCGTAATCTCTCACTTGTCAGGCGATAATCCAACTCCGGATGTATACGAGCTTCCATCGGAGTTGCTTGATGGTCTTGTCGCTCACTTGCCTGCTCTAGCGTTACTGAATTTCCAGACTCACATGTGACTACTCTAGTCCTGAGGAGATTTCTGTTTAATTTAATTTCTATTAGCTCCCTTTGATCTTATACGTCTTCTTCTTCTGGAGAATTGGTATAGGCCGTTCAAGCGCTGGGATGATTATGAATCTGGTGATGATTGCTTGACCAGAGGGAGGAAACGCGCTAGGTTAGAGAGAAAAGTTGCGTTTGTTTTCTCCTTTTTTTTGCTGAGAAAAGAAAAGATGATTGAAATTGAACTGCAGAAATGACGTAATCGGGGAGTCGTGGAAGGTGCTGTTTAAGCTGCGGTGGCCTGAGCTCGTTCACCGTGTGGAACCACCAGCTGACTGGCAACAGTTTTACTTGGAAAAGCATCTGCAAAAGTACGTTCCCACCTAACTGATTTCTTCTTCTTCTTCTTCTTCTTCTTCCTTGTCTTGAGTTTTGCATTTATCCGAGTGGCAGTTGTGTTGATGAAGCAGCTGAGGTAGCTATGCGTCCCACCTTTATCGGTCGGATAGGTTCCATTAGTGTATCAGGTAAGCCTTGAGAAACGATTCGTCTGTTTTTGCCTTAGTTTCCTTTTTTCAGTTTTGTTGTATTCTCTGTTACAGATAAGATACTGAGATACATTTGCCATGAAGAGCACACTAATTGTCAAAATTGTGTCTGCACTGAACTATCTTTCCATTTCAAGACATTCGGACCGTATCTTAGGTTAGCTTACACTTTAACTGTTTGTCTTATGATTCATCTTTTGATGAGGCATTAGTATACTTGGTTTCGATTGACTTAACACACTCTTATCATACTTATGCTTCTTTATGTCTGTTCTTACCTTTTCCAGGTGCCTGAGGCTTTTGAATGTGCTCTGCGTTACAGAAACTTGTGTAAGTAACTAGAATATGCTCTGAGGTTCTTGATTGTATATAGAGTCGTTTTTGTTTTTGTATCACCGCCATTTTATATTGTTTTGCGATGTTTTCCCTTCTCTTGGAACTTCAAATCTGTATCGTTGTAGATGAATCAATCATTCAAGAGAAATAATTTTCAGGCTTTGTTACTGTAGGAGTTACTGAGGACAAGTAAACTGCAAACTTTGGTTCTACGTTGGATAAGATCTGAGAAACATGTAAGGCAATTTCCCTTACGTGGTCTCATATGTTTATTAGCTGGAATCGCTTTGCTGATGATCCATGGTACGACAGGTTGAGCCCTTGTGCAAGCTCTTGATCCAGAGCCGAGAAACATTAACGTCGCTTGAGTTTATTCACTGTAAGCTTTCTTCGAGTTCCATCAGTGCCATCTGCGCTTCTCTCCATGAAAAAGACATTCACACAAATGGGATTCAACGTTTCTGTATAAAGACATCTAGCATTGACGTAGGTCCACTTGCTGCCCCTTCAGCTTTCATTTCATTCCTGAATTCAGTGAGGTATGCGTATGAACTGATGCCAAAGCGTGTCCTCGTGAAGTATTTGCTCATCTGGTTGCCATAGTGACTTTTCTTGATGAACTTTGTCGTTTCTTTAGTGAGCATCTTTTTCTTTTCTTTTTTTCAGGTCCTTACATTCCTTACACTTTTGCGATAGCCACCTCGATAGGCATACTGCGAGGATGGTTTTCTTTACACTTGTTGATTCTTCCTCAAATCTTTCGTCACTTGACCTCTCTGACAACAGTGTGGGTACCGCCGTTTTTCTTCTTGTTCAAAATGATATACGGCTTGCTTTTCGTGGCTGAGCAACATACAAAATATAGATTTCAGGATGGCTTTCTACTTTCAGCTTGAGATCCGTTGTTGGTTCTCTGTCATCTGGAAAGTCTTTACAGTCGCTGTGCAAGCTCAACTTAAGGTATTATTTAGTAAAACGACAAGTGCTACGGTCTTAGTCCTCGGAACCTTTTCAAACAATTAGAAATGTGTGTTACTAGGGAGAATGACCTCGACAAATACGATGCAGAGAATCTTGCACATGCTCTTCTTCATATGCCCGGCTTGGAGTCTCTTGACCTGAGCGGGAACCCCATTGAAGACGGTGGGATCAGGTTTGTCCTCTAAGTTCCTGCATTTGTAACCTTGGAGAAATTCAACAGAATTACATTTCTCTTACGTGTTTTGGCTGAGTGGTGCAGAAGCCTAATATCTTACTTCACCAAGAATCCGGATTCTCTTTTAGCCGATTTGAACTTGGGGAGCTGTGAGCTAACATGTTGTGGAGTCATCGAGTTTCTTGATACCCTCTCAACGCTGGAGAAACCTTTAAAGTTCCTATCTGTTGCAGATAATAACCTTGGCAGGTATTCATAAAATCACCAGCTCTTCTATATGACTTTCTACGGATATGAAGTGTGTCTCCTTTTTTTTATCTGTTTGTTCTTGTTCTTCAGCGAGGTTGCGGAAGCTATGGTAAACTCGTTGACAATCTCCATCGAGTCTCTCAACATTTCGGGTATAGGACTAGGTCCTGTTGGTTTTCTTGAGCTAGGCAGAAAACTTGAGAAAGGGTTGAAGAAGCTACTGAGTGTCAACATAAGGTTCAAAGCAAATCCATCTTCTCTTCTTTTTTCTGTCTGTGTACCTTGCCATTGCTTCGCCTTGGGTTTCCTCACGTTCCTTTTTCGGTTTTCCGATGTAGCAAAAACCGTGGAGGATTAGAGACAGCGAGATTTCTGTCGAAGCTCATACCCCTGGCACCAAAACTCGTCTCAGTCGACGCATCCTACAATCTCATGCCACCCGAATCCTTGCTCATGCTATGTGACTCTCTGAGAAGTGCAAAAGGTGATATAACTTTCTGGAATCGGTTTTGAGATGCATTTCTGCTGCTGCTTGATTCTTGTGTTAACTGTTTGTAATGATGATCGTGTTCAGGTGATCTCAAACGTCTAGACCTGACAGGGAATAGCTCCTTGAGCCACGAAGCTGATCATTCTTCTCTACTTGGTGAATTTCAACACAACGGAGAGCCCATCTTCGTTTTACCTTCATCCCCGGCTTCACACGTCCCTTACGATGATGAGCCGTAGAGAAATTACTCTATACAGCTCAATTTTGCTTTTTGGCCTTTGGTCTTTGGTCTAGTACGGTTTATGTAATTTTATGTGTGGCGACTTATAAAATGCAATTTTCTCCATAGTGTCCTTACACATAATAATATTCTCTTTATAATCAATCTTTTTACGAACCGACGTCTTGTACTTTATGTTATCAGTTGGGTGGTCAATATAAATTAATTTCAATCAATGGATTAGATTATTATTATAACTTCATAACGTACTACAGTATGTTTTTTTGTCTAAGAACATAGCATGCCTATGACCAACCCTTAAGGAAGGGCATTTTATCTGACATTACTCCGGGTTTGGTGTTGTATAAATACATGTATAGTCTATGTTTTGGGTTGATTCAACTTGTAATCAAATTAGTTTGGTTTTAGTTTATAGAGGAGAGTATTCAGTTTCAAATAAAGTTGTTTAGTGACTAACTTAACCGAATTAAATAGTCGCGACCGGCGGTTAAGTTCGGACCATAGTGGCATGTTTATGTAATTTATGGGGAAGAAGAAGGGTAAATTCATTAATTGACTAGCCAACCACATGCTTTCGTTTATCTTCTTCATATGTTTTGATTTGAGTCTAAACAAGTCGCCTTTACTCTTTTCTCTCCTAGTTTCTACAAGTACTAAAAAAAATTAAGCGGCACTTCTCCGCTAAATCCCTTGTTTTTCTCTCTCTATACACATCACATTACACAGACACTCTCTCTCTCTCTCTCTCTCTCTCTCTCTGTTCATCGAATCCTCCCTGGATCGATTCGGTTTGGTGTGCTTGCTGTAGTTGGTATAAATCTGATTGGAGATTAAGCAGATCTGAAGGGAGGAAAGCCAGATCGGAATCAAAGCGGGGGTTGGTGATGGAGGAAGCGCTGGAAATGGCGCGAGCCAAGGACACGAAGGAGCGCATGGCGGCGGTGGAGAGGCTGCACCAACTTCTGGAAGCTTCGAGAAAGAGCTTGAGCCCCGCGGAAGTGACGTCACTGGTTGATTGTTGTTTGGATCTCCTCAAGGACAGCAATTTCAGAGTCTCTCAGGGTGCGCTTCAGGCGCTTGCTTCCGCCGCCGTGCTCGCCGGTGAGCATCTGAAGCTCCATTTGAACGCCCTTGTCCCTGCCGTCGTGGAGCGGCTTGGAGACAGCAAACAACCGGTTAGGGATGCGGCGAGGCGTTTGTTGACAACTCTCATGGAGGTGAAGTTACTAAATTCGAAGTTGAAGTTTATTGAGGCCGTTGCATTGGCTGCCAAGTGTCCTAAGATACATTTGCTTCTTCTTCTTCTTCTTCTTCTTGTAGGTTTCATCTCCGACGATTATAGTTGAAAGAGCGGGTTCGTATGCTTGGATGCATAAGAGTTGGAGAGTGCGGGAAGAGTTTGCGCGTACTGTAACATCGGCAATCGGTCTTTTTGCATCCACGGAGCTCCCTCTTCAGCGTGTTATACTTGCTCCGGTATTGTTTTTCTTGTATCGATTGGTTTTAAGGATGGTCAGATCGAATTCGAATTGAATTGAAGTGATCTCGGGTGTATTTTGTCTTCTTCAGATACTCCAGATGTTAAATGATCCGAATCAAGCAGTTAGGGAAGCTGCAATTCTGTGCATTGAGGTAAGTTTACAGCTCAACTTGTTAAAAAAAAGTATTACATTAGCTTTCAATCATGAAGGCAACCTGGTTCTTTACCTCAAATTATCTCGTGTTTGCTTTTGATACCATACTTCTGTGTTCTCTCAGGAGATGTATATGCAGGGTGGGTCTCAATTTCGGGAAGAGCTTCAGCGCCACCATCTTCCATCATATATGGTAAATATCAGATTAAGATTGATCCTTGTGCTTTTCAAACTGCATCATAACTTTTTTGTACTTTGATAAAGAAAAAGTAAAATTGCAGTCTTGGGGAGCTCTTTGCTAAGGCTCGTTCTCTGCTTTGAATCAGGTGAAGGATATCAATGCTAGATTGGAACGTGTTGAGCCACAACCGCGTTCCACAGATGGTCGTAGTGCTCACCATGTTGTTAACGAGGCTAAAACATCCAGTGTCAATCCCAAGAAAAGCAGTCCCAAGGCAAAGACTTCCACGAGAGAGAACTCTTTATTTGGAGGTTCAAGATCTTTCTCCCAAGGATTAAAGTCTAAAGCTGGTCTTGTAAATATTTCCATCTCAGCTGATTATTTTTTATCTTGGCATTTCAGGAGAAGCCGACATCACCGAAAAACCCATTGAGCCTATCAAAGTGTACTCAGAAAAGGAGCTGATACGAGAATTTGAGAAAATTGCTTCAACACTCGTCCCAGAGAAAGACTGGTCAATGCGTATTTCAGCTATGCGGAGGGTTGAAGGACTTGTTGCTGGAGGTACTTACTCAGTTTTTTTCTCAACTAAGTTTCATTTGCTTTGCTTTCTCTTCATGTATTTTCTGCTAGCAGTGGAGAATATTTCTTTGTACGCCATCTCATGGAATGCTTTTCTGTTGAAGGTGCAACTGATTACTCTTGTTTTCGAGGTCTCCTGAAACAACTTGTAGGTCCCTTGAGTACACAGTTATCTGACCGGAGATCTACCATTGTTAAGCAGGTTAGCCAAATTGTCGATTTGGTATTTTTCTTATTAGGATTTATAATGCATCATATGATTCTTCTTTGCCCGACAATGGAGACAAGTTGGTCTCACGAGGAATGTCATTTTCATTAAGTACTTAGTTTATGAGAATTCGTATTTTTCTATGCCAACGCCCCTCATCTTAGTAAGATTCATATTCATTTTAGCCAGAATAACACCTTTGGCTAGTGGGTACAATTCCAGTAGGGCTGAATGGTATATTAGATGAATGCAGCCTTATCTTATGTAGTTTTGAATTTCTACCATTGCCTTTCCTTGATATGCTGTTTCTCGTGTTCATAGGCTTGCCATCTCTTGTGTCTCTTATCAAAAGAACTACTAGGAGATTTTGAAGCATGCGCTGAGATGTTTATTCCAGTAAGCTTAAACCCCTGTCACTTACTGCTCTGACATTCAATGCATATACATTCCTATTAATATAATTATATATGGTAATCAGGTGCTTTTCAAGCTGGTTGTGATCACTGTGCTTGTAATTGCAGAATCTGCTGATAACTGTATAAAAACGGTAAATTGTTAGCTTTTCTGATTTTGGCTTCTAGAAGATTGCCTGCTCCTCATAGTTTTGCGCTTACACAGATGCTTTCTTGGTATTCTAGATGCTGCGTAACTGCAAAGCTGCCCGTGTACTTCCTCGCATAGCTGAATCTGCAAAACATGACCGTAATGCAATTTTGCGAGCAAGGTATACTGGAGCCTTCATATCATCCAGAAGATTTTTGATTTTATGGAAGTTGATCCCAGGTTTTTTATACAGGTGCTGTGAATATGCTCTGTTAACACTCGAACATTGGCCTGATGCTCCAGAAATTCAGCGGTCAGTCGAATTATACGAAGATCTGATTAGATGTTGTGTTGCAGATGCTATGAGTGAGGTAGGTTTGTGGTACCATTTTCCATATTGCTAGATGTTATGGTGCAGATGCTATGAGTGAAGTAGGTTTGTGGTTCCTTGTTTTTTCTTTGGGAAGGTAGTGATTAGGGTTAAATGCAACTTCTAATGGGATCTACGTTTGCATCAGTAGTATCAAATGATTTGTTTTCCTTGTATTCCCCACCTATCATTCTCCCATGTATCATAGGAAGCTGTTAACATATTGAATAACAGGTACGGGCAACTGCTAGAATGTGCTACAGAATGTTTGCAAAAACTTGGCCAGATCGTTCTCGTCGTTTGTTTTCCTCCTTTGACCCTGTCATTCAAAGGGTAAGGCTTGTCAATTCTCTATATTCTGCTTACTAGCATTCTTCAAGCTTTATAACTCATTGCATATGTTATCAGCTAATAAATGAAGAAGAAGGTGGAATTCATAGGAGACACGCCTCACCATCTGTCCGTGAGAGACACTCCCAGCCTTCATATTCTCAGACTTCTGCTCCATCTAATTTACCTGGCTATGGAACATCAGCCATAGTCGCTATGGATAGAAGTTCAAATTTATCCTCAGGAGTATCTCTTTCTTCCGGGCTACTCCTATCTCAATCCAAGGATCTCAATAAAGGTTCTGAACGTAGTCTGGAAAGTGTGTTACAATCAAGCAAGCAGAAGGTCAGTGCAATTGAGAGTATGCTCCGAGGACTGCATGTATCCGATAGACAGAATCCTGCAGCCCTTCGTTCGAGTAGTTTGGATCTAGGTATCGAGCTTCTTTCCTTGTGAGAGTATATTTTGTTTTCGAAAAATCCTTGCGCAGCTAAATGGTCTTTTTTCTCCCCTAGTGCAGGAGTTGACCCTCCATCGTCTCGTGATCCTCCATTCCATGCTTCTGTTCCAGCATCCAATAGTTCCACAAGTAGCACAACTGCTGAATCAATTCCTAGTATCAACCGAGGCAATAATCGCAGTGGTGGCCTTGGTTTGTCAGATATCATCACCCAAATTCAAGCTTCAAAAGACTCAGGAAGACAATTATACCGTGGCAATCTGTTGTCCGAGTCTCATCCTAGCTTTCCATCCTTGACAGCAAAACGGGCCTCAGAGAGAAATGAGAGAAGTTCTGTTGAGGACAACAACGATGCCAGGGAGGCGAGGCGGTTTATGACGGGTCATTTTGACAGGCAGCAGATGGATACCGCTTATAGAGATTTGACATTCAGGGATTCAAACGTTAGCCATGTTCCCAATTTCCAGAGGCCACTTTTGAGGAAAAATGTTGGGGGAAGAATGTCGGCAGGCAGGAGGAGGAGTTTTGATGATAGTCAACTGCAACTTGGTGACATGTCAAATTATGTTGATGGTCCAACTTCTCTGAACGAGGCCCTTAACGATGGACTGAATTCAAGTTCTGATTGGTGTGCCAGAGTTGCAGCTTTTAGTTTTCTCCAAACTTTGCTGCAACAAGGCCCAAAAGGTG